TCCCACGCGAAGTTGCAACTTCCTGGCCGCATGCATCGGATCCACAAACATGGTGTTGTTGAGGATGCCCCGAATGAAATCACAATTCTCTGGTGGCTGGAAATGGAACTTGAGGAAATCATAGGCGAAATCGCCATTCTCTGGTTACCAGAGAAATTCTCCGGTTGCCTGGGGAAGTAAATTGAGAGTTGTTTCCCAACCATCCTGTGGTGTTGGGTCCTCGTTTTGAAGAGACAGCGCCCCGCGCTTCCTTCCTCTCCTCTTCTCTCGTCTCCTCTCCTCTCCTCTCCTCTCCTCTCCTCTCCTCTCCTCTCCTCTCATCTCCTCCTCCCGCTCCTCTGCCCTCCGCATGCTTCCGTTTCGGCATAGCCAACACAGCGCTTCGTGGCCCCATAGGGAGCTCAAGCGAAGGCCCCAGTGGCAGGGTTCGCATGCAGTTTCACTCTCATGTCGGCGAACCCCTCACACGGTTCGTGGCCCCATTGGGAGCTCCATCGAAGGCCCCAGCGGCAGGGTTCGCATGCAGTTCCGCCTTCATGTCGGCGCACCCGTCACACGGTTCGTGGCCCCATAGGGGGCTCCTCCGACGGCCCCAGTGGCAGGGTTCGCATGCAGTGCGACACTCAATTCGGCGCACCCCTCACACAATTCGTGGCCCCATAGGGAGCTCCATCGAAGGCCCCAGTGGCAGGGTTCGCATGCAGTTTCAATTTCTTTGGCCGCAAACCCCTCACACGGCTCGTGGCCCCATAGGGAGCTCCATCGAAGGCCCCTGTGGCAGGGTTCGCAAGCAGTTTCATTCTCATTTCGGCGCATCCGTCACACGGTTCGTAGCCCCATAGGAAGCTCCACCGAATGCCTCAGTGACAGGGTTCGCATGCAGTTCCGTTCCCATTCCGGCGCGCCCCTTACACGTTTCGTGGCCCCATCGGGAGTTCCACCGAATGCCTCAGTGGAAGGGTTCGCATGCAGTTCCGCCCGCAATTCGGCTCACCCCTCACACAATTCGTGGCCGCATAGGGAGCTCCATCGAAGGCCTCAGTGACAGGGTTCGCATGCAGTTCCACCTTCATGTCGGCGCACCCCTCACACGGTTCGTGGCCCCATAGGGAGCTCCACCGAAGGCCCCAGTGGAAGGGTTCGCATGCAGCTCCCTACTACGACTGTTGCTACTACTACTACTACTACTACTACTACTACTACTACTACTACTACTACTACTACTACTACTACTACTACTACTACTACTACTACTACTACTACTACTACTACTACTACTACTACTACTACTACTACTACTACTACTACTACTACTACTACTACTACTACTACTACTACTACTACTACTACTACTACTACTACTACTACTACTACTACTACTACTACTACTACGACGACGACGACGACGACGACGACGACGACGACGACGACTACTACTACTACTACTACTACTACACACTACTACTACTACTACTACTACTACTACTACGACTACTACTACTACTACGACGACTACTACTACTACTACACTACTACTACTACTACTACTACTACTACTACTACTACTACTACCTACTACTACTACTACTACCACTACTACTACTACAACTACACTACTACTACTACTACTACTACTACTACTACTACTACTACTAACTACTACTACTACTGCTGCTGCTGCTGCTGCTACTACTACTACTACTACTACTACTACTGCTACTGCTGCTACTACTACTACTACTACTGCGACCTAATACGACCTACTACGACCTACTACGTCCTACTACGACCTACTACGACCTCCATGGAACGACTACCACTGCCACTGCCACCAGTACTAACGATTGCCCCGCCAGTCCGAGGAGTTTATCTTAATTCTATAGTGCTCATGGTTTTCTGCCCCTCCCACACCTGCTTGGAAGCCCCGCTAACGCGAGGAGGGTATCGGAATAACATGATAGTTGCAAGGTGTCGTGCACCTCCCACACCCGCTTGGGGGGCCCGCCAAAGCAAGAAAGGCATCGGAACACCACATTGTTTACACGGTGTTCTGCCTGTCCCACGCTTCCAGGGTTGCCCGCCAGAGCGAGGAGGGTATTGTAATGCCTCATTATTTTCTAGCTTTCGTGACTTTCCCAATCCTCCAGGGAGGCCCCACCTGAGCGAGGAGGGTATCGGAATACCATACCGTTTACGATGTTTCTTGCCCCTCTCACTCCATCGAGGCCCCGCCAGGTCGAGGAAGGTATCGGAATACCATACTCTTTACAAGGTTTCGTGCACCACCCGCACCTCCAAGGATGCCCCGCCAGAGCGGGGACGGCATCGGGACACCATACTGTTTATAAGGTTTCTTGCCGCTCCCACCTCTCCAGGGAGGCACCGCCAGAGCGACGAGGGTATTGTAAGATCTTACAATTGAAGAATTTCGCGCCCCTCCCACCCCTCCAGGAAGGCCCCGCCAGAGCGAGAAGGGTATCGGGACACCATACTATCTGACAGGTGTCCTGCCCATCCCACATTTCCAGAGAGGCCCCGCCAGAGCGAGGACTGCGTTCAAAGCATCTTGCCCCCCCCACCCATCCAGGGAGGCTTCGCCAGAGCGAGGAGGGTATTGTAAGATCCTACAGTTGAAGAATTTCGCACCCGCCCCCTCCCTCCAGGAAGGCCCCGCCAGAGCAAAAAGGGTATCGGAACACCATACTGTTTGCCAGGTGTCTTGCCCATCCCACACTTCCAGAAAGGTCCACCAGAGCGAGGAGGGTATCGGAATACCATGTTGTTTTATAGGTAGCGTGCTCCACCCACCCCTCCAGGGAGGCCCCACCAGAGCGAGAAAGGTATCGGGACACCATCTTGTTTCAAAGGTTTTGCGCCCCTCTCGCCACCCCAGGGATGCCCCGCCAGAGCGAGGAGGGTATCATAAGGCCATACTTCCCCCCTACACTTCTCCAGGGAGGGTCCGCCAGAGCAAGAAGGGCATGATAATACCATACTATTCACAACGTTTTCTGCCTCTCCCGCCACTCCAGGGAGGGTCCGCCAGAGAGAGCCATGTATCGCAATGCCATACTGATTACCAGGCGTCCTACCTCTCCCACTCCTCCAGGGATGCTGCACCAGAGCGAGGAAGGTACCGCATAGACCACCCTTCGGGTGATAAGGAGGTGAGGGGGGGGGAGGGACCAACGTCGCACTCGATCGATCTCACTATCGAACTCACTACCGATCTCACAATCGATCTCAATCGATAGATCTCACAATCGATCTGACCATCGATCTCACAATCAATATCACAAGCGATCCCACAATCGAACTCACATTCGGTCTCGCTATTGATCTCACAATCGATATCACAATCGATCTCGCACTCGATCAGACTACCGATCTCACTAACAAACTCACGATCGATCTCATTATCGATCTCACATTCGGTTTCACTATCGATCTCACTATCGATATCACAATCGATCTCGCATTCGGCCTCACTATCGATCTCTCTATCGAACTCAGTTTCGATCTCATTATCGATCTCACTATCGATCTCACTATCGATATCACAACCGAACTCACAATCGATCTCACAGTCGGTCTCATCATCGATCTCACTATCGAAATCACTATCGATCTCATTACCGATAGTGATCTCACTACTAACTCAATCGATCGATCTCACAGTCGATCTGACTATCGATCTCGCAAGAAATTCCACAACCGATCTCACATTCGGTCTGACTATCGATCTCACTATCGATATCACAATCGATCTCACAATCGATATCCCATGTGGTCTCACAATCGATCTCACTATCGATCTCATTATCGATCTCACATTCGGTCTCACAATCGATCTCACAATCGATCTCACAAGCGATCTGACATTCGATCTCACGTTCGATCTCACAATCGATACCACTACCGATCTCACTATCGATCATCAAAATAAAACATCAACATCGTCATCATCATCATCACCATCATCATCATCATCATCATCATCATCATCATCATCATCATCATCATCAATATCATCATCATAATCGAGACACCGACGGGACACCGGCAGGACACCGCGGGCCCCCGGCCGCCCGGAAGGGAATTATTTCGTCCGGCCGCGCCTCAGCCACACGGGACACCAGCGGGACACCGGCGGGACACCGCGGGGCCCCGGCCGCCCGGAAGGGAATCATTTGGTCCGGCCGCGCCTCAGCCACAGGAGACTTTCTTTCGCCCGCCCACGCAGCTTCGCCTCGCCCGCACGCACGGCACGCACGAACACGAAACCAAAATCGATTTCCCGGTAAGGGGGCTCTCCGTTCCACTTCGATCTCACCCCCTCACCTCCGATCATCATACCATACCACTTGCAATGTTTCCTGCTCCACCCACCCCTCCAGGGGGGTCGGCCCGAGCGAGCAGTGTATCGGAATATTATACTAAGCACGAGGTTTCGTGCCCCATCCACTCCTCCAGGCAGGCCCCGCCAGTGTGAGCAATGTATCGGAATGCCATACTGGTTACAAGGCTTCCTGCCCCTCCCGCTCCTCCAAGGAGGCCCCGCCAGAGCGAGGAGGATATCGGACTACCATACGCTGTTCAAGGATTCCTGTCCCCCCACCCCATCCAGGGAGGCCCCGCCAGAACGAGAAGGGTATCCACAGTGCTCCTAAATGAAGGGATTGCGTCCTGAACAGCCGTCCTCTTCTTCCCTGCTGCTTCCCCTCCTCGCCTTGCTTCCTCTCCTCGCCTTCGTGGGCACTCCCACGAGAATATCTTCACGTCGTGGGCATATCTTTCTCTTACCACTGTTGTGCCCCGTTGACCCCGCCAACCTCGTAGCATCCTTCTGCGGGGAACTCCAGTCGCGTAATTTAGGATCCCGCCTCTCTTCGCAACCTCGGATCTGAGGGGATCTGCCCCGCGAGGCCCGACGGCAGTCGGCCAGTGGGACCGAGGCCATGCCAGCGAGGATGGGGGATCGGACGAGCGACGCTCCGCAGGTCGGGGGCGGCGGGCGGCGTGCGGGTGTGGGACGTCTCGGGCCAGGACGCGGTCCCGCTGGAGCTCGACAACGGCGGCCGGCAGGCGTGCGACGCGGCGTGGTCGCCCGACGGCGCGGAGGTCGCGACCGCGTGCGTGGGCGGCGCGGTGTGCCTCTGGGCCGTGGGCCCCTCGGCCGCGGGCCGCGGGCCGCGGGAGCTCGGCGGCGAGCTCGGCGGCGCCTCGGCGGACCTGGCGCGCGTCGCGTGGTCGCCCGACGGCTCGCTGCTGCTGGCCTCCTCGGTCTGCGCGGGGCTGCACAGGCGCGAGGGGGGGGGGGGGGGGGGGTGGAGCGGCGGCGGGAGCGCGTGGGCCCTCGGGGGCGCGGACTCCTCGGGCCAGTGCTGGCCCCCCTCTCCCCTGCCCGCGGAGCGCGCCACGGGCGGCGCCAGAGGCGCCGCCAGGGGCGCCCAGCGCCGACCCGAGAAGTCCGCGCGGAGCTCCGACACGTTATGTTTGTGCCGTTCTTGGCTCCTTCCTTGAGATTCGACGTTGCGAGAAACATATGCAGCATCGCAGAAATCATGACCGGGCCCTAGAGTTGCATTGAGTCAGCGTAGACTATAAGGTACGATCCGTTTTCACCTTTAGAATCTTGCGAACATCTCCCGTGGAATCTCCGGTAGCGGTGCGGGGGCCCCTGCAGATTTCCGGCAGCAGACCCCCCTTGGCGAAATCTCCGGCGAAATTTCCGGGAAGCGTAATCTCTGGCGAAATCTCCAGGGAAATCTCCAGGAAGCGAAATCTCTGGCGAAGTCTCCGGGCCATCCCGCCTGGCCGAGAATCGCCACAGACGGAATCGATTTGAATCCTGATGTAATCGTCCACAAAAGGAATCCTTTTGTAATTTCCTGCAGGAGGAATCCGTCGCATGGGGTCGGGGTGACACGTATCACCCCTGTGCTGCTTCGCGCTGTATCATGTTGGCATCCAGGGTACGAGTGGAGCAATTGGTTTTGCCCACACGGTTTTCGGGGGTGACACGTGGCCCCCCTGTGTTGCGTCACGCTGTATGGTCCCATGTTGGCATCCAGAGTACGAGTGGAACAGTTGGGTTTTCCCACGCGGCTTTCGGGAGTGAAAAACATGGGTTTTCCCCACGCGCTTTTTGGGGTAACACGTGTCACCCCTGTGCTGCGTCACGCTGCATGGTCCCATGGTGGCATCTAGACTACGAGTGGATCAGTTGGGTTTTGCCCACGCGGTTTTCGAGGTGACACGCGTCACCCTTGTGCCGTTTCACACTATATGGTCCCATGTTGGCAGCCAGAATACGAATGGAACAATTGGGTTTGCCCACGCGGTTTTTGGGGTAACACGTGTCACCCCTGTGCTGCGTCACACTGTATGGCCCCATGTTGGCACCCAGAGCACGAGTGGAACAATTGGGCGCTCCCACACGGCTTTCGGGCTGACACGTGTCACTTTGTGTTGTTTCACACTGTATTGTCGCATGTTGGCACCCAGAACACGAGTGAAACAATTGGTTTTCCCCACGCGGTTTTCGGGGTGAAACATGTCACCCCTGTGTTGTGTCACATTGTATGGTTCCATGTTGGCGTCCAGGATACGAATGAAATAATCGAGTTTCCAGATACGGTTTTCGGGGTGACACGTGTCACCCCTGTGCTGCTTCACACTGCATGGTTCCATGGTGGCATCCAGAATGCGAGTGGAACAATTGGGTTTTGCCCACACGGTTTTCGGGGTGACACGTGTCACCCCTGTGCTGTTTCACATTGTCTAGTCCCATGATGGCATCCAGAATGCGAGTTGAAAACAGTGGGTTTTGCCCACGCGGTTTTCGGGGTGGCACGTGTCACTCTTGTGTTGTTTCACACTGTATGGTCCCATGCTGGCATCCAGAATGCGAGTGAAATAATTGGGTTTCCGCACACGGTTTTCGGGGTGACACGTGTGACTTGTGCTGTGTCACACTGTATGCGTCCATGTTGGCATCCAGAGTACGAGTGACAGAGTTGGGTTCCCCCGCGCGGTTTTCGGGGTGACACGTGTCACCCCTGTGTTGTTTCACATTGTCTAGTCCCATGTTGGCATCCACAGTACGGGTAGAATAATTGGGTTTTGCCCACACGGCTTTCGAGGTGATACGTGTCAACCCTGTGTTGTTTCACGCTGTATGGCTCTAGTTTCACAGCCAGAATTATCCAGAATATGACTTCCGACGGGAAAGAATTTTTCTGGAGATTTCCGACGGGGGAAATTTCCCGGGAGATTTCTGGGAGAATTTCCGGGAGATTTCCTGGGAGACTTCCGACGGGGGAGATTCCCCGGGAGATTTTCTGGAAGATTTCCTGCGGGGGAGATTGCCCGGGAGATTTTCTTGGAAATTTCCCGGGAGAGTTTTGGCGGCAGATTTCCAAAGAGATTTTCCGGAAGATTTCTTGGGAATATTTCCCACGGGAGGGATTATCCGGGAGATTTTCCGGAAGATATCCCGGTAGATTCTGGCGGGAGAGATTTCCCGGGTGATTTCGGGAAGATTTATTGGAGATTTCCGCGTGTTTTCCGGGCAAATTTCCGACGGGGGAGATTTCCGGGGAGATTTCCGACGGGGGAGAATTTTCGGGGAGATTTAGCAACAGATTTCCCGGGAGATTTTCCAGACGATTTCCCGGGAGATTTCCGACAGGGGAGATTTCCCGGAAGATTTCGGAAGATTTCCGTGGGATTTCCGGGGAAACTTCCGAGAGATTTCCGGGGGGGCGTTGCAGGCAAATTTCCGACGGGGGAATTTTTCCGGGAGATGTGCAGGGAGATTGCTTGACGGAGCAGGTTTTTCGGGAGACATCCCGGGGGGCCCCAAGAGTCGCCTGGGGGCTCCTTAACAAAATTCGACGTAGGAGGAGGACGAGTTGGCGGGCGACGAAGAGGACGGATAAGTTCAGATATAGGAAATGGGATATGAGAAGGGGGGCTGAAGGAGGGTGAGGAGGAGGAGGGGGAGGAGGAGGAGGAGGAGGAGGAGGAGGAGGAGGAGGAGGACGAGGAGGGAGGGAGAGCAGAGGAAAAGGAGGACAACGGTGGGGGGGTGTAACATAGGGAGCCCCACCGAAGGCCCCAGAGTCAGAGCTCGCGCTCCCCCCACTTGGCTACACGCCTCATCCGTTTCGCGGCCCCGTCGGGAGCTCCACCGACGGCGCCTGTGTCGGCGCCAGGATGTCCATTGAAGGCCCTAGCGACCGCGCCCGGAGGCCGCCACCCTACCATTTTGGCAGGCCGCTACACGTTTCGTGGCCCCATCGGGAGCTCCACCGAATGCCCGCGTTGCAATGCCCGCATGCCACGCCCCCCGCCACTTTGGCACACCCCTCACGCGCGTCATACCCCCAGTGGGAGGTGTACCGAAGGCCCCGCTGTCAGCGCCCGCACACCACCACCCTGTCAATTTGTGGAAACCTTTGAGGCTTCGATTCGTGTTCCCACATGGAGCATGCCCCATTTTATGCTGGTGGGCCTCTCATAAGTTTGGTGGCCCGTTTCAGGGAATTCCAGCAGCGCCCGCATGCCGCCACGCCCACCCTTTGGTACACCCTCACGCGTTTCGTGGCCGCGCAGGGTCTTCCACCAAAAACGATGCTCACAATCGCGGCACTCACAGCTGCATATGGGCAGGTCCTTCGCCAGGGTTTGTCAACGAGGGATCGTTGCTTCGCCGTCGGTGGAAAATTCGGGATGCGGCCCGAACATCCCATGATCCAGGCGGAAGCCCCACACATTGAGATGTCCTCAGCGGCCCAGGGGGTAGGCAAAGATTTAGACCTTTGGACAAAAAACTCCACATTTTCATTCTCCGTCTTCACCCCCCCCTCGCGTCCATCCTCCTCTCCCTCTTCTTCGCCCGCCTCTTAGGCCCTGGCGCCGTCCTGCGTGGGGTGGCCGTTATTGCCCCTGGTCGGCCGCCTTGGGCCTAGCGGCCCCAGCTTTCGGCTCGTTCATCCTCCCTTCACTCTTCCTCGTCCGCCTCCTAGGCCCTGGCGCCGTCCTGCGTGGGGAGGTCGGTACATCGGCATCTCTTGTCCTTGGAAACTGGCCCGGCGAGCGGATCGAGTCGCGCCGGGCCGTGGCCGCTTTTCCTGCGACTCTGGGTCCTTTCCTTCATCCCCCCTAGTTCCCTTCCTCTTCCCCTTCGGCCGTAGCTAGTTTGGTTTAGGCCGAGGGGTATTTCTGGTTACGGCGGGGCTCGTTATGGCCATGGGTCTGTTCGCCCTCGCCCCGATACGCCTTTGCCCCACGTGCGCCGCGAAACGTGCACGCGCGGGCGCGGGCGATTCGTGCGCGCGCGCACCAGCAGTGGCGTTTTAATTCGGCCCGCCCAGGGGATTGCAAAAAAAACCACGGATTGCAAAAAAAACCGAAGGATTGCAAAAAAAACCGAAGGATTGCAAACAAACCGAAGGGTTTTTTTTGCAATCCGTGGTTTTTTTTTTTGCAATCCTGTGGTCGCGATCCCCGCAAGTAGTCGCTTGCAGGCCTGCGCCCGCTGGGGCCGCCAAGCGCGCCAGCGCGCCCGTCGAGTTTTCAGGCTGTCGGCGGGCGGCGCGGCGCCGATCTTCAGGTTCGCTGCGATTGAATTCCGCGCGAATTCTCTTTCAATCTCACCTTTTACACATGCTGCCCCGTTCAGTCCAAGCGATGTTGACATTCGGGAGATACCTCTGGCGGCGAGTTCGAGATCAGTGCGTCCTCATATCATTGCCAACGTCTTTTTTCTATCGGCGGATAGTAAGAGAGGGATCGGTGCATCGGCCCCCCTCTCTTGCGCGCGCGCCGCCCGGCGTCGCGGCCGAGGCGGTCGCTCAGTTGACACTTACTCGCGAGGCGCTCAAAGCTCCAATCAGCGTGGCCCCGATGTCAAAGGATTCGGCCACCGCGAAGTCGCTCTTCGCTGCCGCGCCGCGCGCGGCGCGAACCTTGGCCAGCCGGTTCTCGGGGGGGATTTCGTTTCAGATTTCGGTTGCCCAAGATTGCGTTAGAGATCTTGCCGGGGATGTGCAGGCGGCGAGATTTCGTTTGAGATTTCGAATGGGATTTAGCGGCGGCGAGATTCCTCGGGATATGTTCGGCATATCGTCAGGGCGATTTTGCGCGGGCGAGGTTTCTCTGAATACTTCATTGGAGATTCGTTTGGAGATTTTCTCGCGGCGAGATTTGGTTCGAGATGTTCTGGCGCTCCGACACCGTCCAATATTTTCGGGGAGATTCTGGTTTCGTACTTTAGTGCAACCGCTGACTCAATGCAACCCTAGAGCCCATCTTTCCGACTCGACTTGCGAGCTGGATCGATCTCCGATGGCCCCGGGGCCCGAAGCCGGACAGAACCGCCCAGTGCGAACAAAAATGAACGCCTGGAGAGCGCGGGGGGTCCGCGGAGGGCGACGCATTGTTCGAACAAAACGGCATGAGCGTAAACGTTCGATCGAAGTTCCGCGCGGAATTCTCGATTTGTCGCTGGACCTCCTCGGCGTTGCCTCTGGCGCCGCCCCTGGTGCGCTCCGCGCGACTCCGGCTCCGATAGAGGACATCCCCGCGGAGCACCGAAAGTTCGTGTTTCTGCAGTGTTTTGTTCTTCCGCAGATATCCGATGCAGTGTTTCTGTTGGAAGGCGCGGTCCTTGGAAGTCCCGACCCTATCCCCGAGGCGAGCGCTTCGTCGCCCAGCGAGGGCCTCCGAGGGCTTCCGAGGGCCTGTGGAGGCCGAAAACAGACGAGGCCCCCCGCCCCCCCCCGCCGTGATCTGTGTCAAAGCGTTGGACGTCTGGGTCGTCCGTGGTTCCTCCTCCTCCTCTTCCCTGTTTCCTTTTCCGCCTCCTGCTTCCCTCTTCCTCCGCCGCACTGTTGGTTCCTCCTCCTACCCTCTCCTTCGTCGAAAGGCCCCCCCGTGGCGTCCTCCGCGGCCGCCCTCCTCTTTCCCACGCGCCTCTGTGCTCAGAGCCCGGCGCGGCCCGCCAGCAGCTTGAAAGCGTGAGCGTCCGCTCCCGTTGCTGACAGCGGCGTGTTTTTTTGCAGGCGCGGGGAGTCCGCGGACGGCGACGTGCTGTTCGAACTCCACCTCGCGCGGCGGGCGCCCGGCGCCGCGGTCACCGCCGACTTCGCCGTCTGGTGCCCCGATGGCGCTAAGCTGGTGCTGCCCGCGGCCGGCCTCGCGAAGCTGCCGCCCCCGCAGCTGTGGAGCCTGGGCCGCGACAGAGAGGCCGCCGTGAAGGAAAGAAGGGGTCCCGCGGGGAACTCTGACGATCCGGGGTCTCCTTGGTGATCCCGGGGGCACATTGACTGGGCCCCCGGGATCTCCAAGGAGGCTCCGACGGCCTGCAGAGCGCCCCTCGCGAGGCCCAGAGGGCCCCAGTGGGCTCCAAAGTGGAGCGACAAACCAGGGGCACCTTGGGCCATGGGGCACCTTCTAGCAATCCCCGAACTGTGGGGGCGATGGTTTCAGGAATGTGCCCAAAAGGCTTCAGACCCTAGAGGGTCGGTAGGTTCATACGGCGTTAGCGCGCCGGCAGCGCCGGCGAAGGCGTTCAAGGTTGAACCCTGCGACGCGGGAGCACCGGTGGACATGGTAACGGGACTGGACCCCACTGAGTTCAATGTTGAACGATCGTGGTCGCGATCGATTCAAGGTTAAACGATCGACGCGGTGTCAAAAACCCCTGCGCGCACCGACGCGCACGAACCTACTCCCATTAGACATCTTAAGCAAAGGAAGTTACCATGGGCCCCAGAGCTCGTTCAAGAAAGCCAGGAGTTTGGACTGGACCCCGTGCGTTTTTTTTAATCTCGTTTCTTAGTACAACGTTCGTACATTTGGCCCCGGTTGGAGCGAAGGCCATTCTTTCGGCGTAAAACTCAGTTAACTCTCAGCAGGTATCTGTCGAGGGCGGTGGTGATATCCATGTCCAATTCACGATTGGAACTGCACGGGGCATCGTCATCGGCCTCTTGGAGCCGGCTGGGGGTCTGAGGTGGCCCGCACTGGTTCTGGCGAGCAGGGAGGTGGGATTGGCGAGGTTTCGACCAAGGTTTTTTGTACCTTTTTCCGTCTCCGGGGGCCGCTTTCGGGCCCCAGGACCGTCAAGAACGGATTTGGGGTTAACAATTGCACCAGCTGGGCCCCAGAAGGTGTCCTGGGATTGATCTTGAGCGGGTATACCCTTATCCCTTCTTCTCGGCAGATTTGTTCGGCCTCCTGGGGCTCTCCCCCGGGTGCCGGGCCGTCAAAGCACGACTCAGGTTGAAGAGCTGGTCGTGGGGAAATCTCCCGGGTCCAGGACTCTTTTCCCTCAGGGTCCGCTTTCTTCACGGCAAAGAAGTCGGTGAGCGAGGGCGGGAAGTGAGAAGGAGAAGGCCTTGTCAGAAGCTTCGGAGGTTCCCCAGCCTTCTGAGAAGTTGTCTAAGCCTTCCCCGAAGACAGAGGAAACTCTTCAGAAGGCGCGAGGGTTTCTGAGAAGTCCCGCCGCCTTCTGACAAGGCCCTCTTCTTCTCACTTCCCCCCCTCGCTCGCCGCCGAGCAACGAGGTCGGCCCAGCGTCCTCCGCGTGCGTCGGCGCCGTCGCACTGCCTGTCGCGACTGGCGTCCACGCTGGCGGCCCGAGCTTCGCGGTCGCCCGCTGCTGGTCCCCTGACAGCACCAGGCTGGCGGTGGTGGAGCACGCGGTGGTCGTGGGCGCTGCTGAGCCGCACACGTCCTGATGGGCAAGTTATCCACCACCGCTACCATACGCAGGACGGGGAGAAAGGGAGGGTGAGGATGATGTCCTCCTCCTCCTCCTCCTTCTCCTCCCTCTCCTACCTATGGTAGTGGTGGTGGGCAATGAGCCCATCACGTCCCACGTGCGGTTGTACCGCACCGATGGCGAGCAGAGTGGCTACGTCGAGCTCCCTGCGTTGCGTAACGTCGTCGTTCATGAGCTGTCGTGGTCCCCGGACGCGTCGCGCGTCCTGGCCGCGTGCCACAGCGGCCTCGCCCTGCTTTTCGAGGCACCGAGTGAGGAAAAGTTGCATAAGCATAAATTGTCGGAGCTCCTCGCGGATTCCTCGGATCAGCGCCAACGCCCCCATCCCTGGCCCGCGGAGCCCGCCAGGGGCGGCGAAGGAGGGGGCCCCGCGTCGATCCGAGGAACCCGCGCGGAGCTCCGAAAGTGCATGCCTGTGCAGCTTCTTGCTCTCCTGAGGCAGGCACGGGGGCTCTGCTCCACTCCGTGGGCACCCCCTGGAGCTCAGCGGCGGCGAACATGCGGCGAACATGCCCGTGTCCGCCGCGCCCTCGCGCTCCTGGATGCCCGGGGCGCGATGCCGCGGAGGCTCGACCGCACGGGAGGCGCTCCGCGCGCGGGCATCCGCGCAAGAGAGGCGCCCCGCACCCGCGGGATCGCGGCCCGGGGGCCCGGGCCGCGAGGCCGCGGACACGGACGTGTTTGCCTCAAGGGAGGAAAAACCAGCCGGCGGGCCGCGAGGCCGCGGACACGGACGTGTTTGCCTCGAGGGAGGAAAAACCAGCCGGACCGGACAGCTGGCGTTTGCTGAACGGCCTTGGGCGTTTACTGAGCGGCCCTGCCCCGTTCGATGCCTTCCGGGGGGGGGCGTTTCGTGAATGGCTTCGCGTGTCGAGGGCGGTGCTTCTGGGGGTGGACGTTTTGCCCTCTCCTGCCGCCCACGAGGAACCGCGCCGCCGCCGCCACCCCCGGCCTCCGCGGCGCCGTGTCCGCGCGCTTCCTGCCCTGCGGGCGGCGCTTCGTGGTGACCTCGCGGACTCGGCACCTCGGCGCCGGGGCGCAGGACGGCGACGCGGTGGTGCTGCAGGGCCCCGCCGCGAGCGCGAGCAGCTACGCGCGCCTGGTCGCCGCCGCCGGCCGCACCAGCTCTGCCCTGCCCCGAGGGAGGGAGGCGGCAGCACGAGCCCGGCGGCGGGCCCGAGGGGGAGGGGCGAGAGGGGGCGGGCCTTCCCTAAAACGACGCGAGGATCGGGGCAACATCGGATCGGGACAACTCGAAATCTCTGAGAAGCGGCGGGTTTGGATGATGTATTGGGCGCCGCGGGCGCTCCAGAGCGTTCCGGAGCGCTCTGAGAGCGCTCCGGAACGCTCTGGAGCGATTCATCTCGATCCTAGCCCTGTTTTATTCCCTTCGAGGTCTTGGCGGCACCTGCGCAGAGGGATGTGGTCCTGGCGAGGTGCTGCTTTTTTGGTTCGCTGCGTCGGCTTTCAGGGTCTCCAGGGCGGGGCTTCTCGGAGGCCTTTCGCGCCTCCGAGGATGGAGTTCTGCGTCGCCGGAGAAGGCTGAGGAGACTTCTCTCAGGAGGGGAAGTCTGGGAAAATATAGGCTGAGCACGATTAGAAATGAACGACGTGTAGATGATCAGATGTCGTTTTCTTGTCTGCACCGTGGCAGAACTACAGCCACACAATCGCCCGCAGTCCCCGGCCCCCGACGTCGCGTTTTTTCTGGTTGTTACGACGTGGACCCCCAGAGGTCTGGACCCCTTCCCAGGGACTGGTTTTTCATCCTGAGTCGTTTTTGGCGGTCCCGAGCCCCGATAAGGGCCCCGGGAGGCCGAGAACCACTGTCTTGTGCATCCTAGGGGAGAGTGCTCTCGAATGTTCTTCGGTTTTGGGCGGCGGAGGGTATCGTGTTCTCGAAGGATGTTATTATGTCCTAGGTCCTGCCGTATCCAAATCTGTCGGTCGTGTCGTTTCCCTGACGAGAGGGGGTCCTTTGGGGCCTGTGGGGCCTTTGGGGCCTCCGGCGCCGCCAACAGCGCACGCTGCGCACGCGCCAGGGGAGGGGAGCCAGGCGCCGATCCGAGCGATCCACGCGGAGCCTCGAACGCCTATGACTGCAGCCTGTGGGCTCTGGAGGGGCCTTGGTTTGCGGGTCGCTTCTTGAGTTATGACCAAGACTCAAGACGCTGAAACGAGGACCGCTTCGGGTTCGGACGGGCTCGCTGTTCCTCCGGTTATTCCGTGGCTGTTCCTGTAGCCCTACTGGCGCCAAAGAGGGGTTTCGCTCCTTCTGGTGAGCCTCACTTCTGGTAGCACCTCGGCTGCAGGTCGGGGAAGCGATCAGTGGCCGAGGCGCGCCGTGGCCAGCACAGCCCTTCGGCCATTCGGCCCTTGCTCGGCGCCTGCCTTGCCCAGACATGTGCGAGGTCCTGATGTCTGCGGGCTCCCCAGAAGTCCCGACCCGTTCCCGAGGGCCGGGCTTCCTCCCGAGCCGTCTCGAACGATCCCGGGGTCCATCGAGGGCCCCCATGAGGCCGAAAGCGGCCAAAGCCCTCCCCGCGAGGCTTCTCACGACACGAGCGCGTCGGGCGGCGTGACTTCTCACGACGCGAGCGTGTCGGGGTATGCTAGCACGATGGCTGTGTGCCGTCTTCTGTCCCTCCACCTTCCGGCGGACGCGGACGCCCCGCTGCACGCCGCGGAGGCGCTCGTGGGCGAAAAAGCACTCCGTGTCCGCGGCCTCGCGGGCTGGGCCCCTGGGCAACGGCCCCCCGCGGATGCGCGGCGTCTTTCCGCGGATGCCCCGCGCCGAACGTGTCCGTGAACCCGCGCATCCGCGGGATCGCGGCCCGGGCCCAGAGTCGAGACCGCGAGGGCGTGGCTCTGGACACGTTCGCCGCTCGCGAGGCGCTGCTGGCCGCGCTGGCCCGCCGGGCGGCGGGCCCGGGCGAGCGGGCGGGTCTGCAGGAGCTGCGGCGGCGCCTGCAGGAGGCCGCGGCCGAGGGGGCCGGGCGGGCGGCGGAGGCCGCGGGGGCCGCCGGGAACGCCGCCCTGCTGGCGCACAGGCCGCGGGCGGCGGAGAGGGTCGGCGGCGGAGCTCCTGGTCTCCCAAGTTTCGGCGGCGAGCCCGGGGGGAAGCGAGAATGATGGGCCTGTTTTCCCATCACCACCACCACCATGAGTTGGAGGGGGGAAGGAGGTGGAGGACGAGGAGGAGGAGGAGGAGGACGAAGAGGAGGAGGAGCAGGAGGAGGAGGAGGCGGAGGAGGAGGAGGAGGACCCCCTCCCCCTCCAACTTATGGTGGTGGTGGTGGTGGAAAACAGGCCCATCAGAGGAGGAGAAGGCCTTTTCACTGACTCGGAAGGCCCCTGGCCTTCTGAGAAGTTTTCTGAGCCTTCCCCGACGACGCAGAACACTTCTCAGAAGGCGCGAGGGCTTGAGAAGCCCCGCCGTGCCCACTCGCTCGCCGCCGAAAGATGGGTCTGGGAAGATGGGGTCGGAGGATCGCGCCGCGTCGCCACGTGTTCGACGAATTCGGAACCTTACCCCCGCCGCCCATCGAGTCGCCTGATTCGTGAATCGGCGAGGGTGGATGCCTCCCAAAGTGGGCCCGTGCAGATGGGGTCGGTGGATCGCGCCGCGTCGCCGATGCATCGCCGATGTTCGGCGGCGCGCCGAGGGGGAAGTGAGAACGGGCGGGCCCTCTCAGAAGGCCCGGAAGTCCCCCGGCCTGCTGAGAAGTTTTCTGAGCCTTCCCCGTCGAGATGTGGAGCCCGATTTTCTCCTCGCCGACGTCGCCGATGCATCTGCGATGCGGCGCGATCCTCCGACCTCATCTACTCGGGCCCAATGTGGGAGGCCTCCGCCCTCGCCGGTCAACGGTTCAGACATCTCGATGGGCGGCGGGGGTAGGGTTCGGAATTTATCGAACACGTGGCGAAATCCGAACCCTACCCCGCCTCCCATCGATTCAGGGGAATCGATGGTTGGTTAGGGGCAGCGTTCGGATGTCGCCACCTGGAGGGGGTCCATTCCGACCCGATCGATCCGATCGGACATCAATTCTGGCCAGCCCGATCCAATTCGATGCGGCCCGACGCTTTCACGGCGCTGTTGTGCGTCCTGGCGCGGCCGATCTGGCTCGATTCCGACTCCGTCCCGATGCGGCCCGATCCGTCTTGCATTCCGATTCGACCCGGTTGCCCCATTCGATGGTGGTTGGCACTGAGAGGCGGAAACAAAACTGCCAAGGCCTCCACAGGCACGCCATAGGCTTGCGGTACAAACATGGTCTGGCCCCAAAGTGGAAACAATCCTCCTCCTCCTCCTCCTCCTCCTCCTCCTTTTCTTCCGTGTTCGTCTTAATTCCCCACATCCTAAGTGGGGTTCTTGTTTTCTCTGCACACCCTCCGCGCAGGATCTCTCGTCCTCCTCCCTCTCCTCTGCTCCTCTTTGCTTCCTCCTCCGCATCATCATCACCATCACCATCACCATCACTCCCCACTCATCATCATCATCATCATCATCATCATCACCATCAGCATCACCATCATCATCGCACGTTCACTCACCATCATCGGCATCGAACGATCATCATCATCATCATCATCATCATCATCATCATCATCATCATCATCACTACTCGCTGACTCACCACTTCGTCCCCATCATCATCACCACCATTTACCATCAGAATCGCACGATCACTCACCATCAGCACTCATCATCACCACCATCATCATCATCACGTCGTCATCATCACCACCACCATCATCATCATCATCATCATCATCATCATCATCATCATCATCATCATCATCATCATCATCATCATCATCATCATCATCATCATCATCATCATCATCATCATCATCATCATCATCATCATCATCATCATCAATCATATATCATCATCAAACACCGTCGTCATCATCCCATCACCATCATCCACCAAGAGGGAGCCTCGTCTGTGAGTGAATTGTGAGGAAGTCTCAGGCGGGAGCCCCCTCCCTATGGGGCCCGCAGATCATGTTACTAATCCGAGCGGGTCATCGGATTCCTGTAACTGTCGTCACTTTTGGGCTCCTCAGGTCTGAATTTGGAGGAAGTATCAGGCGGGAGCCTCGTCGGTGAGTGAATTGTGAGGAAGTCTCAGGCGGGAGCCCCCTCCCTATGGGGCCCGCAGATCATGTTATTAATCCGAGCGGGTCATCGGATTCTTGTAATTGACGTCACTTTTGGGATCCTCAGGTTTGAATTTGGAGGAAGTATCAAGCGGGAACTTCGTCTGTGAGTGAATTGCGAGGAAGTCTCAGGCGGGAGCCCCCTCCCTATGGGGCCCGCAGATCATGTTATTAATCCGAGCGAGTCATCGGATTCTTGTAATTGTCGTCACTTTTGGGCTCCTCAGGTTTGAATTTGGAGGAAGTATCAAGCGGGAACCTCGTTTGTCAGTGAATTGTGAGGACGCGTCAGGCGGGAGCCCCCTCCTTATGGGGCCCGCACATCATGTTTATAATCCGAGCGGGTCATTGGATTCTTATAACTGTCGTCACTTTTGGGCTCCTCAGGTCTGAATTTGGAGGAAGTATCAAGCGGGAGCGTCGTCTGTGAGTGAATTGTGAGGAAGTCTCAGGCGGGAGTCCCCTCCCTATGGGGCCCGCAGATCATGTTATTAATCCGAGCGGGTCATCGGATTCTTGTAATTGACGTCACTTTTGGGCTCCTCAGGTCTGAATTTGGAGGAAGTATCAAGCGGGAACCTCGTTTGTCAGTGAATTGTGAGGAAGTCTCAGGCGGGAGCCCCCTCCCTATGGGGCCCGCAGATCATGTTATTAATCCGAGCGGGTCATCGGATTCTTGTAATTGACGTCACTTTTGGGATCCTCAGGTTTGAATTTGGAGGAAGTATCAAGCGGGAACCTCGTCTGTGAGTGAATTGTGAGGAAGTCTCAGCAGGAACCCCCTCCCTATGGGGCCCGCAGATCATGTTATTAATCCAAGCGGGTCATCGGATTCCTGTAACTGTCGTCACTTTTGGGCTCCTCAGGTCTGAATTTGGAGGAAGTATCAGGCGGGAGCCTCGTCTGTGAGTGAATTGCGAGGAAGTCTCAGGCGGGAGCCCCCTCCCTATGGGGCCCGCAGATCATGTTATTAATCCGAGCGGGTCATCGGATTCCTGTAACTGTCGTCACTTTTGGGCTCCTCAGGTTGAATTTGGAAGAAGTATCAAGCGGGACCCTCGTCTGTGAGTGAATTGTGAGGACGCGTCAGGCGGGAGCCTTCCTATGGGTCCCGCAGCTCACGTGGTTCCTCCGGGTCATCCTCCGGCGCGCGCTTCCTCTGGGTCGTCCTCCGGCGCGTATCGGCTGGGACGCACGTCGTGCGCTTCCTCTGGGTCGTGTTCCGCACGAGGACGAGGAGGAGGAGGATTGCCAGGAAAAGGAGGAGGGATGATGCAGGACGAGACAGGAAAGCAGGAAGAGGAAGAGGCTGAGGGGAGGAAGGACGAGGAGGAAAAGGAGGAGGAGGAATGCCCGAGGAGGCCCCAGTAGGTCCCGGAAGGCCCAGAAGGCTCCAGGAGGCCCCAAGAGGCCCCAGGAGGCCCCAGGAGGGGGCAGGAGGCCTAAGGAGGAGGCAGGAGGAGGAGGAGGAGGAGGAGGAGGATGAGGAGGAGGAGGAGGGGGGAGGAATATGGAAACGAGGAGGAGGAGGAGGAGGAGGAGGAGGAAGCGGATGAGGGAGAGGGAGAGGAGGAGGACAGGGGGATGAGGAGGAGGAGGAGGAGAAGGGAGAGGGAGAGCAGGAGGAGGAGGCAGGAGGCAGGAGGGGCAGGGGGAATGGGGGGGAGGAAGCATAACGAGGGGGAGGGGGAGGAGGTGGAGGAGGCAAGAAGAGGAGGAAGAGGCAGGGGTTGAGGCAGGAGGAGAAGCAGACAGGAGGAAACGAGGAGGCAAGAGTAGGTGGGAGAAGGGAAGGGGCAGGAGGATACCCCCATGCAAGCTAAAGAGATTCTCATGTGGGGTCCTTCCGTCGGAGTAATTTGTCAATTTTTTGCTCGGGTTGGTGCACCCAGTCCCCACGGAAGGCATTTCGCCGGATACTGGGGGGCTCTGCGCAGCGGGGTCGATGGTGGCGTTGTGGCGTGCGCTCGTAGAACCAGCCTGGTATGCATCCTAATTAGTTCCCTGCATTGCGGCACGCGGCGCGCTCGCTGTTCTCTCAGGCCACGGTTCAGTTCATGAGCTTGCCTACCGCAGGTCGGCTCGCGTGGTGTTCCCGACTTGCCTGGCGACCCTTTGATTACTCACAGCGGTCAGGGCCGAGTCGGGTGAACAGCTTGTGGTCGCGCTCCCTCCTCCTTGCCTCCCTTAAAAATGGAACCAGCAAATCATTCGAGGGAGGCATCCTCACACTTTGCTCCAAAAGTAAACTAGTCTGGACACTCAAATAGGCAAACCGCCTGGGACATCCCCACACTCTGGGTGCGACGTGAGAACGCCCTGGGGGCTCTCCCGTGGGAGTGCTGAAACAACCGCCTCGCTTGAGACATCCTCGAAACCTGCTCTGAAAGCAGACGAGTCTGGGCAGTGAAACACACACACACACACTCACACACTCACACACACACACAACACACACACAACACACACACAACACACACAACACACACACACAACACACACACACACACCCACACCCACACACACCCACACCCACACCCACACCCACACCCACACCCACACACACACCCACACACACACGCACACACACACACACGCACACACACCACACCAACACACACGCACACGCACACGCACACGCACACGCACACGCACACGCACACGCACACGCACACGCACACGCACACGCACACGCACACGCACACGCACACGCACACGCACACGCACACGCACACGCACACGCACACGCACACGCACACGCACACGCACACGCACACGCAC